TTTATTAGTTTAAATTTGTTTTTTCCCCAACATGTTCAGTCTACATCAAATACAATTATTTTAAACAATTGTTTTTTTGACATGATGATATTAATATCAACTTTTGTTAATTTTAGTAAAAGGTAAATCATTTCCATAAAAAATAAATGTGGCCTTAATAACAAATGGCAACACATGTCATTATTTCAGGTTGAGGTGAGTGATAAGAACTGTTGATCGGGTGGCACCATTTCAAGAATGGCAGCTGGCGACAGCAAAACTTTCACTGATGTACATGTCCGCCTAAATCACAAGAAATTATAATGGGCCAAACAATGGCCATGAAAAAGTAAGACTTGCTGAGGGGCTTCAAATCCCCTTTTCTACTCTACTTTATTTATCTATCATGTTACAAGTGATTTATTGTAATTCCTTTAATATGCAAATATCTTTTGCCAATATTACAATACACTTCATCTAATTTCGTCTGCGCCACAGCTTGTGATTGTAAGGTTTGAAAAAAGGTTCCTTAAGGCCAATGTAATTGAATATGCCCGTATAAATAACGACAATTGAACCAAAACGAGGAATGCGAGAGGGGCCCAAGGAACTCTTGGATTTTCCATATTTGTCGTTTGTAGAAGATCTGTTGGTAGAGTGTGTACAATAGTTTTAGTGCATTTAGGTCCATGATAACAGTCTTCATACTGAGAAACCCAACAAGCACATCGACTATCATCGGTGAGTGTATTAGGGTCTCGAGCCCTATGGGGTGAAACCCTTTAGTTATTGCCGTATGTATTACTCTTATTTTTCCGCCATTGTTTGTAAACACTGTCATTTAGTTTTCAAACTTACTGTGCTGATTGGTGGTGATGTGACCTTGTGCAGAGAACTTAAATTTGTATTGGTCAACTGTCATGGCCGCTGTCGAGGTTCACAATTTTACGAGAGGGGGGGGGGGGTAATCACCCCTTTCTAAGGGCATAGGGCTTTCAATTTGTTTTACTGTATACAGTACTGTCTAAATTTCTGTTATGTCCATTAAAATCTCTTGTTCTCCTGAACAACATTGCTGGTCGCCATGAAACTTAGTATATAGCTTCTACTAACCTATATCTACTTAGTTTAAAAAAAAACAAAATTTGATTGATCCAGTTGGTTTTTAGTGAAAACCGAAAGCGGCCATTTTGACCATTTTGTGGCGGTCTAAAAGTTCCAATTGTTGTTGTTTCGCATATGCAGCCTATGCCTATCCTAATAAGATAAAAGAGGTCATGTGACTTCGTCCGCTATTTTTTTTTCGAAAACATGGCTAAATCCTTTAAAAATCTTCTTCTCATAAAGTTGCAGACCGATTGACATGAAATTTGGCATAATCCATCTACATGCATAGCTCTTTCAAGTTTGAGCCCAGAAGTTGATTGGTCACGTGGTTCGGCCGCCATTTTGTATTATTAACAAAAATTACCAAAAGTTTGCACATTTCTTTCTGATTGGTGCTTCAAGCAATTAACTGCCGATTTTGTATGTAACATGTCTGGTCATAGCTGCATATGAGAAAAATAATATATTTTCGACCAGTCACGTGGTTTGGCCGCCATCTTGGATTATATGAAAAACTGACCAAAAATGTAGGCATAAATAAACATGTATGTGACATGTCTGGTCATAGCTTTATATGAAAAAGTAATAAAATCTCGATCCTTCACATGGTTGGCCGTCATCTTGGATTTTGTGAAAACGGGAAATGAGCAATTACATGTGTTGTATTAGTCCGATTGGGGTGAACATTTGTACGTGCATTCTAATCTTGAGATACATTGTTCCAACTGAATGGCACATGGCTAGGTTCTGTGGCTGGGCGCCCATTGGGTGGGGGCTTCTAACCTCATTAATATGCATAACTGTTATATCTCAAGCACTGTTGAAGTTAGAAAGATGAATCCTTTGTTATTATGACAACATTAAACAAGTGATTTGTTTAAAATAACAGATGACCATACATGGTCATGTGAGGTGAGCTCGTTAACATGCATAACTGTTAGATCTCAAACACTATTGCAGTTAGGAAGATGAATCCTGTGTTATTGCAATGTTGAACAAGAGATTTGACTAAAATGGTCATGTGAGCTCATTAATATGCATAACTGTCTTATCTGTAACACTGTTACAGAACATAA